TATGTACATATATTGAATAATTACAGCAGCTCAAATATTATATGCAGTTTCTTGAGGTTGATTGCATTTACTTGAATTATTTAGAAAAATGCGACCCAATCAGATCGGTAAAATGTGAAATGGGTGGTTTCCCTCATCCTCGAGACTGTCAAAAATGTATCTGCCCTGGTGGATACGGCGGAAAGCGATGCACAGAAAGAGTGAGAACTTGTTGAAATTTGGTAGTGGAGACTTATTGCAATTTATTCATTCGTTCAACGAGTACTGTTCTCATTTAGCCATCAGGGTGCGGTGAAACAATCAGAGCTACTTCCAAGTGGACGACGCTCGAAGATGTTGTGGGCAATAACCGTGAAAATGATGAATTCTTCACATGTAACTATTGGCTTGAAGTATGTTACTTTCAGAAACCTCTCAAAAATAGATCACGGCGCGTCATTGCTTATAAACCTCCGATTAAACCGAATGACAAGAAATTCCTGTCTTCGCTTCAATGTTTACTTACTATTGCTGGGAACTACTTACCACGAAGAACTAAGCACTTACTACAAAATTTCAGTCACCAGTTGGAACTGTAATCCAAGTTAGACTACTTGACTTCACCAAAGGTTTCTCCGTTGACGGTTGCAAATATGCCGGTGTAGAGATCAAGACCAACAAGGATCAAACACTCACTGGTTACAGGTACGGCTGCAGCCAACGTTCTAACTTTGATGTCATAAATCCGAACCGTAACTCTTAGAAGTGATATGTTGGCCTTAACTTAATTCAGGCCTCATTAAGTGCGACAGTCTTTTCGATGAAAGGCATGATCGATGTTTTTAGTGCGCGATGCTGGTCTTTTTCAGTAATTTTACTCACGTTTATAAGCTAGAATGTCATTTCGAAATTATATGAAGGAGGTCTCTATCTTGCGACTCGAAACGCCTCAAAACGTTGACAGAGTAGGTGTGAATTTAAGATTCTGCTCGCCCGACGCTGCTGGAGTCACTCTTCAATCGTTCACAAATCGTGTCCCTATAATGACATACAACAGGCTCTACCAATCCAAGACTGTCCTCGAATACCGATACGGCAAGTATTTTGTCACTTTTCTGATTCAAAACGACTTATTTGAACCAAACAATTTAGTTCCGGGAGGTTCGGTTGTGCCTGCTCCACTCCCTCCTACAACCACTACCAAGAGTCCAGCAGTCGGCCCGCAAGGCAGCAAATGCATGGACGAAAGCACGTAAGAAAACTTGCTAAATTGCCAGCGGAATCATAGCCAATATGATCCCTTCCTTTTCAGTATTTGTCCGTCCCTAATCCGAGCTGGCTTCTGTCATATGACGTCGGTCCCAATACAGATCAGGATGAGAATGTGTGGAAAGTCATGCGATTTCTGTTGATTTCATGACTCCTCTTCAATAAATGAATTCTGAAACGCTGCTGTATTTCGAAATCTTTCATCGCTCTCAAATCTTTATGGAGATTATAGTGAACATGTTGTAAAGTCCCGCCTTTTATCGAAAATCCTGCTGAAATCGTGCGAGAAATGCAGGAAATGGGTTTTTCTCCCTTTTCCTTGGTCACCAATTGATTCGAAGCAGAACTTTGTCAAAGACGCCTGTACCCTGAGCTCACCCCGTCAAACGCTGGAAAATTTGGAGAGCTTAATCTTGAAATTGATATTATAGCTCCCCGAAAGGGTCCACTGTTCTTGGGAGCCATCTCCATTTCGTTTTATTTCTAGCAACTTCTGTAGTGACCTTGAAAATCGCATGCCCTGCACTCCCATGGGCCTTTGCATTACTGTTGTGGCTTCATTTTGAACCCATTTCAGTCTCGTCGTCCAATCACAAGACCATCTCAACCTTGTTTACGATACGCTTTCGGCCTTTGATAAAGGCGAGATTGTCGAAACGTCAGGCGAATAAAAGTGTTCCACCATTAAAAAACCGTATGGCACAGAAGCATCGACTAATAATAGTACAGATGCCCAGGTTTAAAGAAAGGCAAACATTGAAGTTAATTCTTTCTAAAAAGAATGGCACAAATATGACTTCTGCGAGGACTTTTCCTTGAGTCCTACCATTGCAAAATTGCATCGCAACGTGGGTTTATGGGTATCGTAGAGTGCACTACCGAAATTCATAGCCAGACGAGATAGCGTTTGTTCATCGACGTCGTTTCAACTTCCTTAGAATCTTGGCTGCTCATCATATCATCATGGTTGCTCGTTGAGGCTACGATAACGTACTCGAACGTACTGTTTGGTTAGCTGATGCCAGAAGAACAGGCAAATAACAGAATCCATCCGTGAGTGCAAGCAGGATGGAACATTGTTGGGTCGAAAAAAATGGATTGAGATGACCCAGCCCCGAAGGTATAATCATTTTTGGAATTAGTTTTGCCTTGTCTTTGTTATATCAGCTGTCCTGTTCTGATGTCATAGTGAAAAGATGGCTATATAAGTATAAGGACTGAAAGAGCACTGTGACATCACATCACTTCACACCCGAATAAAATGTGTCTTTGCTCTCATGAGCCGCTCGGGATACGGTGGATCTAGCTGAGCAAGCATTGTTTTGCCCGAAAGGAGATCCCAATTGGCTCATTTAGTCAAGGGTTTCACAAGGACGTCAAATTTTTCAGACCACCAGAACCCAATCGCCTATCAAGATTTGCCATAACACCGAGTAATGAATCATACCATAAAAAGTTAAGCATCCTACTATATATAACGCGCTAAGTGTGTCTGTTGGTTTGT